TAACATTCATGAGGTTGCTAGGGAAATCACTTGTTATTTTTGTCCTTTCTCCTTGTTTACCTGCCATGTAGGGTTTTGTACGTACAAAGAAAGGAGATCTCGGGGTTTGTGATGTTAGTGACTTGCATTAGCTATAGATTTAGAGGAAACTAAAAATTTAACTAAGAAATTCCCACCAGACGGCGCCAAATTATTTGACCAAAAAATATAGATCTTGGTTCAAATAATTAAATTTATACTAATAAGGGTTAATCTCAATTAACAATAATATCCCAAAGATGGAATTCACGGAAGTGCAATAAATGATATGCAGATAGATTTTTTATAATAACGGCGGCACACAATCAATATTTAAGAAGTCAAAGGAAGTGATATAGCATTAAATAGTGATGAACAACAATAAATGGCACTTATGTAAATAGAACGGATGAGTCACCCAATAAAGGATGAAATTAGTGAATGTTCCTTTTGACAATGATGAGTGATGGATAAGCCTTTGAATATCTGAGTTATTCTCGGATCCAGAGGAAAAGTGTAGATAAGAATCTTATTGAAAATGTTGTTTTTATATGTTGCAATAAGATATGATTCTCTTTTTTAAAGTCAAAGTGTATTTTATAAATGAATATCACATGTCCCCTATCATTGTGTCTCTTTCTATTTATAGGGAACATATTCTTAAAATCCCTAATAGTACAAATGTAGAGAATAACCACTAGAATATTCTCTTTAATGTCATATCTTGAAACTAGCCATTATAACTATGTCAAGGGTACCCGACCTCGGCCTCAATCTTTGACAACTCCTCGACTTCAGTCCTCGCTGGCTCTTCGACCATGGCCTTTGTTGTTAATTAGATTACTTCGACAAGTGGCGGCCCATGATGTTTTACTAATACCATTTCGGCTAGAGATAGATTTTGACTCATACAGCATGCATATTAGGGATTTAACTTCAATCAATGAGCTTTATTTTTTAGAAAATGACAAAAATTGCTAAACTTAACAATCCTACTTGAAAATTCTATTAGATTTTATTTTGGGACCAAATTGCTCACCTCTTTTCATATATTAAGGACTTTATCTGTTAAGGTATATACATGAAGGACCAAAATAAAGCAACCCCATACATTAAGGATTATTTGATCATTTTCTCTCCTATCCTATTTTTCTTTTATCTGCTTTGAGAAATATTAAAAGAAGAAACCCAAAGAAAAATCATAATTTCCACTTCCGTTTTTTCCTTCTCATCATAGTAACCAAACATAGCGCCCAGATCGACTGATCACTTATCTGAGTTATCTCTATATAGTATTATCAATAAATATTGCTGGCTCTCGTAAGATCAAGTCCACAATCCTCAAACTCTCCTCCAATGGCTACTCTTGTTTCTTCATCCTCTCTTCTCCATTCCTCTTCTTCTTTCAGCTCCTCTTCTTCTTCAACTTCATTAATTTCCCCTGTTTCACGCTTCTCTCTTAAATTTTCTTCTTCTTCTTCTCTCTCTTCTTCTCTTTCCATTTCCCCATCTTTCCTTGCATATCCAACAACTAATTCTAGGCGGTTTTCTACCTCCCAGTACTTCACTGTACAGGCTAGTGCAGCTGAGAAGAAGAAGGTGCTTATTGTTAATACAAACAGTGGTGGTCATGCAGTCATTGGGTTCTACTTTGCTAAAGAATTGCTGGGTTCTGGTCATGATGTTACCATTCTTACCGTTGGAGAAGAGAGCTCTGATAAGATGAAGAAAACTCCTTTCAACAGATTCTCAGTTAAGAATTACCGTCTTTTTATATACTCTCTATTTCCAATTTAATATAATGTTATCAATTGGCTCGGAGTTTAACATGTTAATTAAGAACAATGGACAATGTATACTCCCTCCAGTCCTTTTTTATCAAAGTCATTTAAGGTTTTGACACACTTGTTAAATGGATCATTTAATAGTATTAATCAAGGATTATTTGACTAAACTACCTTTATCTCTTGTTTAAATGAGCAATTAATGAATATATGCCTTTTGGTTTTGGTATAGTAAGAGTGGAATTGGGGAAAAAAAAAAGTTAATGCATTTTGTCTTCTGAAGTGACAATTATTTTGGATTAAGTGACATAAAACGGAGTATTAATTAGTGATAGTGGAAAAATTTAGACTAATGGTTGAAATGTGGAAATGTGGAGAACATATCAAATTTAAAATTGAATAGTTTAATGTATTTAAGTTCTTGAAAAATGGGAAAATTGTATAAAAATGGAATGCTGTGAATCATTTTGAACACCTAAAATAGGACGTGTCATATAAACTGGGATGGAAGGAGTAGTTTCAAACTGCAAACATTGATTCGATACTTTCTGGGGGTTTTTAGAATCTTACTTGGTATCTATGTTGCCCAATGGACTAATTTTCAGGAAATTACAAGTGCTGGTGGTCGAACAGTATGGGGTGATCCTGCAGATGTGGGGAAGATCTTAGAGGGAGAAGTATTTGATGCCGTTTTGGACAACAATGGTAAAGACTTGGATGCTGTGAGGTTAGTTTTTTCCCTTGTTCTAACACTAAATCAGAGTTTTAGTTAAGCAAGTTTTTCTTAACGCTTCAAGTAGTGGATAATGCTTATGGAATCAAATGCTCAGATTAGAAACTGTTGATCACATGGAGTAATTTTTTCTTGTTTCTGTAGTGATTACTGTAGTAGGATTTTAGACTATTAGGTAAAGTACTAGAAATAGGGGATGATGTCTCGCTTAGTAAGGTGGGGTTGTTTATATCTATACATATTTAGGTTAATAATGCTTTCTTTTATTGAAGAATGATTACAGTTTCATGATTAGACAAGTTTCAAATGGGATTAGATCCCTTATGCAGCTTTATGCTAGCTCATCTTTGGTGTATAGTATTTGCAATTGCTACGGAATTTGAATGTATAAATACATAAGTTATAGGTAGTTTCTGCACAATTCATATGTAGCATCCGTGTTTTACCCTCTTTGGTTATATAATGGTGATTAAAGTTTGAGATATGTAGCAATCTCAACATAAATAGTTAATCAAAGTTTTGCTAATAAATTTCTTCTGTAGGCCTGTGGCTGACTGGGCCCAGAGTTCGGGTGCCAAGCAATTTTTGTTTATCAGCAGTGCCGGAATCTACAAGTCAACTGATGAGCCTCCTCATGTTGAAGGGGTAGGATTAATGTTTTGCTGCCGCCTCTATAAACAGAATTTGCTTTGTCAAGTAAACTTTCGACCTTACAGGATGCTGTGAAAGCTGATGCTGGCCATGTGGGAGTCGAGAAATACATCTCCGAGATATTTGATAGTTGGGCAAGCTTCCGTCCCCAGTATATGATTGGCTCTGGCAATAACAAGGATTGTGAGGAATGGTTCTTTGATCGTAAGTAAACAAGCTTGCATAATATAAACAGTACTAGTTTTTGTTAGTACTTAAAAAAGGACTGGTGTTTCACTGCTGTTGTGTTTTTGTTGTTAGTTTTTAGATCACTTTAGTAATAACGTATGACATAATTGAAGTGACAGATGGAGAATTTAAATGTTGTGAATTCTGAAATGTATATATATTGGGTTTGACCCCATAACACTGGTTTCTGCCGAATTCGTTACCATTGTTGAATCCGCACTGCATAATTGGATAACCATTTAGAAACACTAGTGACATGTGAAGGTTACCTCAGATTCAAATAGCATAATTTTGATTGCAGCCAGTTTTGTGAGTTCTACTAATGGTCCGTATCTCTTTTTTTAATCGTATCATACAGGTATTGTTCGTGGACGACCAGTTCCAATACCTGGATCTGGAATGCAGCTAACCAACATAGCACATGTCAGGGACTTATCATCCATGCTTACCGCGGCTGTCCAGAATCCTGCTGCTGCTAGCGGTCACATCTTCAACTGTGTTAGTGACCGTGCTGTGACATTGGATGGAATGGCCAAATTATGCGCTAAAGCTGCTGGGCTCTCTGTTGAGATTGTGCATTATGACCCCAAGGCAGTGGGAGTTGATGCTAAAAAAGCTTTTCCTTTCCGCAACATGGTATGTATCCGTATTTCTCCTGTCATTGTAAGGTGGAAAATGCACTGAATGCTTCACTTTGCAGATTTTCATAATTTATTTCAATTGATAGACCTATCCATGTTCTGGACCTCTTGGTTTCTGCATCAGTTCTTTATCTCCACTGGTGTTTCTTTGCAGCATTTCTATTCTGAGCCTAGAGCTGCCAAGGAGATTCTGGGATGGAGTGCTACGACTAACCTACCAGAAGATTTGAAGGAGCGATTTGATGAGTACGTGAAGATTGGCAGAGATAAGAAAGAAATGAAGTTTGAACTAGACGATAAGATCCTAGAAGCTCTAAAAGTACCAGTTGCTGCTTGATTAGCCGCATCCCACATATTTTTACATTCTTCAACTTTTTGAATTTGAGCTATTTATAGAGAAGGTGTATGTCTCTCAATATTCCCTAACAAGTTATCTAAATGTTGTAAGGAATTGATCAAGTTCAAGAATTGAGATATATGATCTATTGTTCGGCGCGTTATGTGCAGAATTTGTATGTTGAATGGTAATCTTGGCCCAAGAGTTGCAGCTTTACACTTGCTCAGTTGCTCCCTTTCTGCACCCTTTAGTCCCATTCATAAATTTGAACATTTAACTTGGGGCTATATCAACCATTTGTCTCGCTATTACTGATTATACTTGAGCCTAAATTCTACACTTTGGTTCGGTCATCATTGGCACTAAATAGACCAGGCATATCTGCAGACTATCTCATTTAAACATGATTAAGTTACTCACCCATGCTCCACCAGATCAACTTTTGTTTATGGCATTTAAGTTGGTTATCAGGTAAGGTAAATACTCGATCAGTTGATCCAGGAAAATATGGACTATGAGAAAGGGAAAAAGCTCATAGTATAAACTTTGTTTGGCATGTTGTAGATTGTATTTGGGAAAATATTCTTGAAGAACTCAATACGTTAAACTAACGCAAGCAACAAATGAAGTCTAATAAAGTTATACCAAATATTAAATAACAATTCTCAGCCTCCATAAACACAGGTTGGACAGAAGAGTTTGAACCCGATACTAATGACAAGAAATGATATTGAAATCTAACCTACATTATGATAGTACTAAAAGCTAGACTAGCTTATTAAGTACAATCTGGCAATTTATGACCTAGTACAACGGGAATTTAAGACTAGGCCATGATTGTGTTTCTTTAAAAGCTTATTCTTCCTGCTTGATATCAAGACCCTTGAGCCTTGTCTCCAACTCGAATTCATTATCTGCTTCTTCATCAGCCTCTTCATCATATTCTTCTCCTTCGGGATCATTTTCATCCAAAGGCCCAAGAACATTAAGTGAATTCTTAAAGATATCTTTAACCTCATCAATTCCTTCATCAGATATGAAGTTGCCATTGATGTTCAGCACCTTAAAGCCAGGTTTGCTCGCAACAGCTTGTGCCAAGCACCTGGCACCAGCTCTTCTTATAGCATTGGTACTCATATCCAGTTCATTTAATTGACCGTGACCATCCTCCAATGCCTTTGCAATTAAGATAGCACCCTCGTCTTTCAACTCATTCTCTGCTAACCTCAACTTGGTAAGAAATTGCTTTGCAGCTATACAGGCTGCCAGAGCAGGAGCAGCTTTAGCTGTGATATCATTTCCATCCATCTCCAAAACCTCAAGGGATGGAGCAGATCCCTTGAGGGCATTAGCAAGAGCAATGGACCCTTCATCCTCCAAATTCAGATAACTAAGGTAGATTTCAGTTAAGTCGGAAAAGATTGATAGTACTTTGCTCAAGGCAATTCCAGCTTCCACACCAAACATGTTGTCACGCAAATCAAGTTTCTTTAAATCCCTACATACTCCAAGGGCTTGTGAAAGAGCAACCCCACCTTCAGATCCTACCCTTGTAGATGAACACCGGAAATCCTCCAATGCAGGAGACTGTTTCACAAGTTCAGAAATAGCAAGTGCACCCTCATCTCCTGTCATGTTATTGTGAAAATGAAGGATACGAAGTTTACCGGTTGAAGGGATCAGCTCGCAGACTGCTTGTGCTGCTTCCTCGGAAATGCCGTCATTCATCAAATAGAGCTCCTCCAAGTTCCGTTGTGACTTCAAAAGTGCCCCAAAAGCCCTTACGCCTTTTTCACCTAAAGCATTGTTAGAAAGATTGAGATACCTCAAGTCACAGGCACCCAAAGCAGAAGAAAAGATTTCCATGACTTCCAGTGCTTCTTCCTCTGGTCTACCCGCTATGAAATCTGAAAGGTCCACTTCTGTCAATTGATCTTTAAGAGAGGACAAAATGGGTCCTGCAATTTTAGCAGCATCCACACCAAAGCTTCTATTGCTGAAACATATCCTTTTATAATTATTCCCGGGTTCACTTAGTGGTTTCAATAACTCCTCAGCCTCCTCTGCATTGATGAAATCCCGTCTACCTTTGGATATATCAAAAATAGTAGTTTCATCAGATGCCTTAACCTTCTCAGGTATTACACCTTCTGCAGATTCCTTTGTCTGAGGGCCTCTTTTAATAACTTCTAACATAAGCCTACTAGATTCCTTAGCATAAAGTTGCACCGCAGAACTTCCATCTCCATCTGGCTCCTTGTCAAAATGTTGATTGGCAGACGCAAAAGCCACGGCTTCTATTTGTTTGGCATCCTCCTCAGCTTCTTCTTTACTCAAAAGGCCATATTTCCTGGATAGGATGGATGGAGTAGTAAGATTCTTGGTCATTTTCTCCACAAGCATAAGTCTGGTACTTAGGCTTGGGGGCCACAGCTTCATAGAGAATCCTGCAGAATCCATCTTCAATAGCCCGGAAAAACAGCTGCAGTCAGAAGACTATTCCGTACAACAAAAGAAGAATAAGGAAATGATCCACTACATATGCCATTTAAAATTTTGCAAATTATTCCTCACGGACACCCTCTAAATTTTTTTTCTGAACCTTTTCAACACTAAGCTAAGACCAAGGGAAACAATAACAAATGAGCTTGGTTCATGTTTATGCTTTCAGCGTGTCCATGATTGACATCAGTAGATAAGCACATCAACAATTGATCATGTGCAATTATGAGTTCCCTCAGACTTTGGTACCATATGCCACCAAGAAATGAAAAGAAAAGTGCCTAGAAAGTCAACTATCTGGCATTCAGGAAAGTTGTCTGAAAAATGGTAAAAACATTTCCTACAAGATAAAATCCCTCTAAGATTAAATCCTGCAAAATGTGCACGAAACTTGAAGAAAAATGTTTCCTTGTTATTTTAAACTTTCCTTTTCTCTTCAAACAGACACATGGAATATCTAAATAAGTGAAAAAGATAATGCCAAAGCATCTGTATGATCACAATAAGAAGATCAAATGAAAGATGCCATTACTATAATGACTAGTTTCTAATTTCAACCCTTTTCAATAAAGGTTTAAGCATTGATAAGCTTGACTTAGAGGTACTTTTTTCATAAGAAACAATAACTATAAACAGGGCTAACAATGGGCTACAAAGCATTATCAGCAACACGATGCTATTTTCTACACAGTTGTGTTCCATACTTTGGGTTTCAACCAAGATTTGCTGTTTTCTACTCACGATTTGCTATTTTATGGTCAATTGATGCAACACAATTAATTTTATCTCACTGGACAAACAGAACAAGCATTTGTCTGATAAATGCAAGACCTTTTTAAAATGGCAATTAGTCCTATGGCAGGAGTAAGGTTGGTGCATATTGACATTCAGATCATGGTCATAAGTTGCAAAAACATCCACAACAGGTAAAATTACATATAAGCATCCTAGCCTCTGGTGCAATAAGGAAATCTTTTTTCCCAATAACATCTCACGTGTGCACCAAATACCATGTATTTAGGAAAAATAGCAAATCATATAATTGAGCCACAAAAGGAAGTGACTGTTCTGTTTGGAAGTATTAGCTCGAACACCATCATGAGCTATTCACATTGAATTCAGACTTTTAACAGTTATATATCTCTCGTCAGTTTAGCAAATCTATAGTCTTTTCATTAGCAAACTAGGAGCTCTATTTATGCTTTAAAATATTACTGTTTCTCTTTTGTTAAAGGGAAAAAAGGCTCAAAAAGGAGGTGAACAAATTTATCCGTATTTCGCTGACATCTCATCGCCACATAAAAAGGAAATGCATTTATGATAAGCTACTATCCGTGATTAAACTTCTCATAGTTTTTGATTCATCTTGTCAGTAAAATACCACGCAAAAAGTTACTATGCTTGAAGCATATCTCGAAGCTTCTGAGTTTGTAACTTTGTATCATTTAATTTTTCCCCTTGCATCAAGCAATAACTCAAATACAATTCCAAGGGCAAACAAGAGACAGATTTCTTCATATTTTGCATTTATTATTGGGACATTTTTCACAACAGTCAGAAGGCTAAGAAGAGTCTCCACATTTTGATTCTCCCTCCCTCCCTCTTCAAGTAAAGAATTGATCTCGGAAACAATAGACATTTTGTATTCATTTTCCTGGTGATGCTATACAAGGAGGTGCTCGATATTTTGTTATTTCAAAAGCCATCAAGAACTAAGAATGTTCTCCTTTCAAATCTGTGGAACATTTCAAAGTCACACCTTTCTGCAGATCACCAGGAGAAATTTGGAAAGACAGGGGTTCTGTCAAAACTACTGAAGGTCTTATGGTATAAGTGTAACCACCTAAGCCGCGACTTGGAGTTACATTTCTCGTTGTATCACACTTGCCCTTTACGTACAAATAAAGTCCATGAACATAGTTATCCTGGTAGGGCATCAATAAGTATGCATTTTTTGTTCAATATCTGTATATGCATATACTAAACAGAATGAAAAATGGCTGAACAGAGTGGAAAAAAATAAATGATTCACATAGTTGACCCCAACTATTTTAAAATGAAGCATAACTGGTTGATTTATATACAAATAAACTCCACTCAAATGGTTACTGCTCTCCATTTTTGTACAAACCTAAGCCACATTTTGATTCATTATACAAAATCTGTGTCTCATTACTCATCAAAACGAACCACTTATTAAAAAAATACTGCCTTAACATAGCAGAAAAAATCATTCAAATGATGAAAAGCGAGAAATGCACCCATAATTGAACAAATGGACAAATGACGTAATACAAAACAAAATAAAATAGAGAGTTAACCGAAAGTCCTCATTCCGCAATCGAAAGTCAACAGGGGTAAAAAATATGGAAAATCTTAAATCAGATCGAAAGAAACCAAATAGAACTCTTAACATAAACGAATGTAAAGAGAGACAAGATTGAGTAAAGGAACTTACTGGTTGGAACAAACCCTAGAAGTGGCGAAGCGGGATAAGAGAGAGAGAGATGCAGAAAAAACCCTAGAGAAGAGGGGGAGAGAGAGAGAGAGAATAGGGAGAGATGGAGTAAAGATAAAGGGATAATACTATTTGAAAGAATTAGTTTGTGGTGGCAATCATGATGATAGTCGTGTGCTGTGTGCAGAAGAAATTGCCCTCAAATTTTTGAGGAATGAATTTGGAGGGAAAGCTTACCCCTTTTTTTTGGGTCACCTTTTTTCACGATTCGAAAATGTCCAATAAGACTACCAGATTATTGACAGTTTATTTTTCGAAAAGATAGGTTATTGTCTAGTGTTTAGTTGTAATCAAATGGAGAAAAATGGTTACATAACTTTTGAAAGGATATCTTTTTTTCATAATTTAACTCAATTTTTAATTTCATGTTATTATTTTTAATTAACGTTAAGTCATTATTGTCAATTTTTAATAATCTCGAGTTTCTTCGGAACACCATTTAACTTGTTAATTAGTATTAATATTAATATTAATAGTAAATACTTCTTTTTAAAATAAAAAAATGTTTTTTGAAAATATTTTTTTGAAGTAATTATTAGAGCATGTTTGTCCATGAAATTTTTTTTTTACTTTTTTCGAAATCACTATTTGGCCATAAAGTTTTTAATTTTTCCTTGAAAATGAATTTTGGAATTTTTCGAGACTTTGCAAAGTTCCTAAAGGCTGTTTTTTAAATTTCCACTCAGATCACTCATAAAAATTAAAAAACAACCCAAATTATATTCATTTCAAATACAACTCTAATTTTTAAATATCATTTTCACTTAAAAATCTTTTACCTTTTTCGAAATTTTACAATTCTCATGTCCAAACGCCCACTAAACTATTCTTCAGTAAGGCCATCTCCAAAGTCCAACCTTGCCCCCATCCCCCATAATGGAGGCAATTTTTAAGGTAATTTAACTCCAACTCTCCCCCATTTTTGTCCCCAAAATGGGGGATGAATAGTGTTCCCTCAAATATGGGGTACACTATTCATCTCCCTCATTACTATTCATCACTTTTATATTATTATTTTATTATTTAATCTTTTAATTTATCTCTTTATATATACTTAATTATGTTTATGTAATATTTTTATAATATTAATATTATATCTTAACTTTGGTGTATAATTTTGATAAATTAATTTTCGTGTATTTATTATTTTTATGTAAAATTATATGTTAATTTTATTATAATTTATAATTGTACAAAAAATATATAATTATCTCAAAAAATGAATGGTGCAAATATAAAATATTAGATGTTGCTAAAATTGAAAGGTGCGAATATAAAATATTAGATGTTGCTAAAATTGAAAAGTGAAGATTGAAAACACATTAAATGAAAATACATTAAAATTGGAAATACATGACAATTGAAAATACATTAAATTAAAATACATAAAAATTAAAACTACGGTAAATAGCATAATAACTTAGTAGGGAGCTATGTCGTTTCTAGATACATCAAAATCATTATAGTATTGACTGAATGGAGCTGAGAATTGTTGTGGTTGTGACTGTGAATATTCTTGACTTCTTTTATACATTATTCGTTGTTGTTCTTATCGCATAAATTCACGACGAGTCGGATCGACAATAGAATCCACATCCATCATTAAAATTTTATTTTCTTCTTTCATTTCTTTTACTCTTACTTTTTCCTTTTGAACAAGCATAGCTTCGTTTTTTGTTGTGGTTTTTCCTTTAGTACCTGACATTTTGCAAAAACATAGGAGTACCTTTTTTAAATTATCAATAAACTGCCGAAAGATTGTCACTTAGAAATCAGTTAAAAAACTGTCACTTGGAAACGAGAAATTTTATTGTGTGCCTCATATAACTGACATTAGTTGTGTGAGGCTCCTTTTTTGTCTCACAAATTTGTGGACCCTAATCTTACATTTCTGGGTCCACAAAAATCTGGGTCCAAAAAACTGTGAGACAAAAAAGATACATCATACAACTAATGTCTTGTATGAGACACAAAATAAAATTTCCCCTTAGAAACCAATTTATCTTCTTCCCTTTGTGATAAAAATGTTTGATTTATCTCGCTCATATCCGGAAAAGTAAAAGGACAGAAAACATAACCAGCCATATTTAAAGAAAATTTGCATATTCGTAGCTGCAATAGTTAATTGTCATTCTATGGCACCTAAATATTAACATAGCATGGCAGATTCAATAAAAATCCCTAAAATCAAACTAGACAATAATCAACCCTAACATATCATTCCTATTTTTTCGCCCATAATTAAATACCCAAAGATTCCTTCTCAAAAAAAGGCAATGAATCATACACCTCAAAGTTATGATTCATACACCTAAATTTAAGGATATGTTTAACTATTTTCTAAAGAAAATGAAACAATATGGCATATAGTTTTTTTCTTTTATAATTCAAATTAGGATACTACACAATCTGTTTTAACATGTTACAAATTTGTCGGTGGACCGAGAATCACGTTTGTAACTACCCAAATAATCTCTTCTTTTTTCTTGCTATAAAATATTCTCCTTATATATTTTCTTTCATTTTGCATCATTTATAAATATGAAACTAATAAATCTAGAATATATAATGTATAATAAAATACATATGAAATCAAACAGTAATAAGATAATATCAAATATTACCATTATATATTGAGTATAACAGTTAAAACAATACTACAATGTTGAATATACCATGTTTTTTTTTTAAGAATTACATTGAAATATATACATTGTTTATTTAATGTATATCATTATGAAATATACATTATATTTTATTATTTTTTCAAAGACATAAAGAAGTCCAAAAAATATTTCATGTCAAATATACATAAAATATATTTAGATTACACCCAAAATACATAAATGATACATTAAATATGTACATGTGCTTACAAGCCATATATGCAGCAATGTATAAATTATAAATATAAATGTATGTATATACAAGGGATAATGCATAAAATCCTCCCCGACCTATGATCATATTACCAATTACACACCTTTTCTTTTCGGGGTCCTATTAACCCCTTGATTTTTTTTTCCAAAATTTCTTTAACCTTATACGCTTAGTTAAACTCGAGTGCAACTACAACTCTTCCAAGTGCGTAAGGAATAAATTTAAAAGGCCTGCATGCTGTATAATCGCCACGTGTTATGCAAAATAAGCTATAAGAAAGGCTTCCAAATGCAAAACTCAACTTTTTTATTTCAACACATTCTTTTTTCACTCCTCCCAAACGTAAAGTATCTGCTATTGTTGAAGAGCTTCTACTAGTGCTGTTGAAATTGAAGAGGTGATTTTAAATCTATAGACTATAAATTAGTTATCTTTAGTCAAGCGAATTTACATTTTTATTTTAGAGTTTAAAATTTCTTCCCCAATTTTTATCTATTAAATATTAGGGTTATGAAATAGCAAATACTAACTTGAATAGAATTTGTATGGACCATGAAGACCCTATCTTTACTTTCTATTAGACCTATTTTGCAATAGAATAAAGAAAAAATTATGGTTGGAGTGATTTTCTTGAAGAAATCGAAGAAGGGGAGATTGAAAATTTGGTTTCAACCGTAGAAGAGAGGAGAGTATGAAAAGAAAGAATGAATAACTTAGGGGCCCTAAATGAAAATAAAAAGGAAATGATAAAATAAAAGAGAATTGAGCAGGACCCATTAGCGCGTGTATACACCCATTTTATTATAAATGGGGGTCGGGTTTAATTAAGCGTATAAGGTTAAAGAAATTATGAAAAAAAGAAGTTCAGGGAGGTAATAGGACCTCCCCCTTCCTACCCCCCCCCCCCCTCCCTCCCCTCCCCCTCCCCCCAAAAAAAAAAGGTGTGTAGTTGGTAATATGGTCATAGGTCGGGGAGAATTTTATGCATTATCCTTATATACAAAGAAGAAGTAGCGTGAAGGCAGAAAAAAATTAGAATAGCAAAATTATTAGGTAAAATATTAGGTAAGATTTGAAAAGAATTTATGTAGATTAAAAAATGATCCACACCACCCAAACCTAATGTGAGATAGAGAAAAGTCAGTTATATTAAATTTCTTATTTAGTGGAATTCCTTAATTTGTGCATTCATTAATTGTGGCATAACCATTTTTTGGTAAATAGTGACTTTCTATTCATTTCAAAAAAAAACTTTACAAACCAAGTAGATGTTGACCATCTACATCTCTATCTTCTAATTACAACAAGTCTGATGTTCTATTTACATATCTCCTATATGGCTATTTTCATCAGCTTAAGACCATTTCAGAAAACAAAAAAACATCTACATACTCTCGAAGCCTAAGAACTTTAAGGAAAATAGTCCAGTTGTTGTAGTGCTCCTTGCCATCTCTGTATTGTTCTTCCTCTGGTATGTATATGCATCACAATCTCTCTGCAAATGCTATCATTCTTGAGTACACCCCCTTGAAATCTAATCACATTTCTTTCCCTACATATTATGTAAACCAGCATATCAAATGCACAAGTTACAATCGCCCATTGACCGGAATTTTTTTTTTGCACCTTTGTTTATCCATTGTACTTCCCATTTCCAATCTTGAATAGGTCTAGGGTGGCTTAGTTAATTGAGAAGCTTTCTTTATTATTATGTAAGATTATAAGGTTCAAAATTAATCGGCGGAGTTCATTTTGGTCATGGTACTACGAAATGAAATCCTAAAATGGCGCCTTATATTTTTGCAAAGCGTAAGGGTATTCATATTACAAATCTTACTAGAACTGTCCATATTCCTTTTACTGTCGGACATTCAAAGTATAAGTGTTCAAATACTTCATCAGAGTGTTTGCAGAATACACACTATTGAGGTACTTGAATTCCAAATTTTAGAAGTCTGTCCATTGTTTCTAATCCCTTCTGTAGTGCCAACCATAGTATGAATTTGTATCTAGGGTGCAGGTGTGGTTGCATAGTTATACTGTTCCAAGGTACCCTTTGAAGTCGAGGGAATTGCATGTGATATAGCTTACTTATACTGAAGGCTCACCTTTTTATATTTGGGTAAGTCTACTAACCAGATCCCCTTGAATACCTTGCAACTCAAGAACAAATTTCTTGGTCTCTAGTATCTTCCTAACTACCCTAGGCTGGATTCTTGGGTATTGGAGCATTTTCCACTGTCTTGTTTCTTATATAGAAGGTATGAATCCATCGGATCCATAAGTTGTCCTTCTTCAGTGCAAC